CCCTAGGCCCAGGGCCCCAGGGAGCCAGAGGAAACGCTGCAAGGACCTGCATAAATCATGCTCCACTTCGCTTCGTCATGGTCTTTGGCGTGAGGGGGAGGCTGCCCGAGGTCTGTCTGGGCGAGTCACAGGGCAATTCTACCAAGGTAGAAAATACTGCAAAACCCCAAACCCCAAACCGGAAAATAAAAGCCTTTTCCGAAAGATTCCTTATTCCTTTTTTTAAGAGGCTTTATTTTCCGAAAGATCCCCGTCTAGACTGGTGCTTTTTCCGGCAAAGCCGTGAGCCGGAAAAAAGCGGCAGCCATGTTTATGCAAATGAAGCAGGGGGATTTAAATCCCCGCTTCGTTTGCAATTGCGATGTGTCTAATTTGCATCCCTTTTACGGAAAAGGGATGCAGTCTAGACACAGCCCGGGTGTTTAATTTTTGGAGGCTGCTCAAACTATTCTAGCTATGAGACAAAACCCGCAAGGTAAAGACCTAAAAAATAGAAAAGAAACAAAGATGAAAAATGTAGCAGCATGGAGCCCTGTCTGTGCATGCCCCATAATGAGGGGAAAAATTCAAACCCATCTGATGCTAGTTTGGCGTTTCACACAATGCATGGGAGAGCCAGGATTTTAAAACCTCAGATTTCACAGGACTTACTCGAGAGGTATCAGGCCAGATCCTCGCCTGAGCTCAGCTCTGCTGAAGTGTGAGGAGCAATGCGGCTCCACAGACCAGCTGATGCTCCTGCCTCTCTTCCTGGCACACTCCAGAGCCAGACTGTGATCTTGGGTACTCTGGTGTAAACCCAGAGCCGCGCCTCGCTCCAGTAGCATTCACACTGGGCCAAGCGAAAGCAGACGGGTGACAAGGGAGGTTGCACACAGCCTCTCTCCTCTCCAGCACCGGCCCTACTGAAATGGGCGGCGTTTCAGCGGCGTCAGTGGGTGAAGAGTCTGGCTCTCTGGCCTCGGGCGGATTCCTTGTTCGCTTCCTCACCGGCCGCCAGAAATGGTTGTTTGCTCCCTTTCCTGGGCGGTTTTCTGCTTTGAGATCAGACCATTTGGCTCAGGAGGGTCGTTTGATGGGGCAGCCTCAGTGAAAGGCTTGTTCAGTGGGCCAGACTGTGCACTACATTCCCCCCAGCGCTAGCTCCAGAGTCGCTCCATTAGCCTCTGCTAAGGGCAGGCTCCGGGCCATGTGCTCACTCCCTCCGCAATTCGCGGGCAGGAGCAGGTGAGGGCAGGCAGCCTGGCGGCATGGGAGGGAGCTGGCACGGTCCGCGTGTGGCCAAGGCCTGGGGAAGGAGGAAAGGGCAGGAGCCAATACAAGTGAACCCAGCACAGGGATCCTCAGGGGACTAGAGCAAACAACGGTTGCGGCACAAAAGTTCCGGGTGCAACTCCAAGCAGGCAGAGCCCACGTAGGGGGCCCTGTGCCGGGCCACGCAGGTGACAGTCGAATGTGGCTATTCTAATCCCTATTGGTCCCCGGCTCTGTGGCTGGTGATGCTCCGACAACGTTCAAAGTGATCTGGACAAACTGGAGAAATGGTCCCAGGTAAAGAGGATGAAGTTCAACAAGGACCAATGCAAAGTGCTCCACGTGGGAAGGAACCGTCAGTCTCACACACACAGAATGGGAAGCGACCGTCTGGGAGGAGAAAGGGATCTAGGGGTTACAGTGGACCACTAGCTAAATAGGAGTCAACAGTGTGACGCTGTTGCAAACAAAGCAAACATGATACTGGGAGGCATTAACAGGAGTGTTGTGAGCAAGACACGAGAGTCATTCTTCCGCTCTGCTCTGCGCCGATTAGGCCTCAGTTGGAGGATTGTGTCCTGTTCTGGGCACCGCATTTCAAGAAAGATGTGGAGAAATTGGAGAGGGTCCATGGAAGAGCAACAAAAATAATTAAAGGTCTAGATTCTCGAAAACATGAGCTATGAGGGAAGACTGAAAGAGCTGGGCTTGTTTAGTTTAGAAAGGAGAAGACCGAGAGGGGACAAGATAGTGGTTTTCAAGTACCTAAAAGGGTGTTTGAAGGAGGAGGGAGAAAATTTGTTCTCCTTAACTGCTGAGGATAGGCCAAGAAGCAATGGGCTGAAATTGCAGCAGGAGAGGTTTAGGTTGGGCATGCCTTCCTGACTGTCAGGGTGGTGAAACACTGGAATAAATTACCCAGGGAGGTTGTGAAATCTCTGCTATCTCTGGAGATACTGAAGAGCAGGTTGGACAGACACCTGCTTGGTGCTTGGTCCTGCCAAGAGGGCAGGGGACTGGACTCAATGACCTCTCGAGTTCCCTTCTGGTTCTAGTGTTCTAGGATTCTGTGATTCCCCAAGTTTCCCAGGACAGGACCATGGCACTCAGATGCTCATTAACTATTTATGGTCCAAAAGGAAGATGCACTCAGTCCCTGTTGACAACTGGCAGTTACACACAGGAGCAGTCCGACTGTATCCCAGAGAGGAAGGATTTCGCAGCAGTCAGGGACTGGAAAGACGTGGGTTCAATTGCTGGCTCTCCACTGCCTCTCTGCATGACCGTGGGCACCTCATTTGGTCTCTCTGTGCCTCGGTTTCCCATCTAGCCAATGGGAATAATGACCTTGCCCTACTGCACAGCAGTGCCGTGAAGCTAAATACTTGGCAGAGTGTGACTGCCACAACAATGAGAGCTGTGGAAATGTCGTAAAATAGATTCTAGCATCTCCTCCTTGCCCCTCCCAACCTGTGGCATCTTCTCATGCTTCATCTTCTCATATATGCGACCTAGGAACGTGCCAAGACATGAGAAAATGCACAGGCCTGTTAACTCCTGTATTATTCTGGAAGGGCTGAATTCTAATGGCTCGGGCAAAACCGATGATGTCAGTAACACGTGTCTTTGGGAGGGGGCTTTATTAGTCAAAAGGATCCTCTCAAGATAAAACATTAAAAACAGATTTAGCTCCTGCCTACACCGGGACCAGCCCAGAGTTATCAACATTATTCACATCAATGAAGTAGCTGCAAACTGACCCCCACGTCACTGGACACGGGTGTTTCCACCTTCTCTAGCCCTCCGGGTAACAAACAGGAAATGACCTTTTGCATTTCAGTGAAATTGTCCTGGCCAGTTTCACTTTGAGCTGAGTCAGGCACTTGCCCAAAACCACTATGTTTGGGTTTGCAACAGAGGAACATGGCAGGCGTTAAATACAGGTTGGACTTCTCTGGTCTGGCAACGTCCGTGGCCCAGCAGGATTTTAGTGAGCCGGATGTTCCATTTATCGTGGGTGTGGCCAAGTTTCCTGTGGTCCCATAAAGTTTGATTGCAGCCCCCAGTCCTGGCTTTCAGGGTTCTGTGCTGCTGTTTAGCTTTGATTTACCCCTCAATGTCTTCTCAGAGCCCAGTACACAGTGGAGGTGCTGGGGATGCTGCTAGACCATATTGACCTGCTGTGGTCTGGCAAATTCTTTGGCACCGGTCAGGTCCTCAGGGTGCCAGACTAGAGAGGTTCAACTTATACTTATATATGTATACAGTGCATCTTTTTTTAATTGTGAAAGCACACTATGTCAATTAGGTCTCTAAAACTTTCCCCCTTTTTAATCAAATGTATATAATGTTCTAAACCTACTTGCCAGTGTTCCTGTCAGAGCAGATACTAATCTTTTTCCAAGGAGAGCTGGTCCAAAAAAATTAGAATTGTAATTAAAATAATTTAAATATAATTTTCACCTAATTTTGTTTTGTTTATTTACCGGCTTTGGAGCAAAAGTGCTTAAGTGACTTCAGTGCCTAAGTCTCATTTACTGTCAATGACATTTAGGCTCCTAAATCCCTGCTCCTCAGAGATATGTAGGCTCCTAACTTACACTGGTTTTTATGGGAGTTTGGCATCTAAATACTTTTGAGAGTTTGGGCCTAAGCACTTAAGTCACTTTTGAAAATGGGACTTAAACACTTTTTTAAAATGTGCTCCATCCAAAAAATTTGAAATGTAAATGTTTTCATCAGCAATTTGATCTTTGGACAAAAAAAATTGTAGCAAAATCTTAGCTAAAATATAATTTTGCTTTTCCCTCAGCGCATGGAGTACTTCATATGTCACTTCCGCTGGGGAAAATGATGTGATTATAGAAGTAAGAGGTGGGATAAAATTTACCTCGCATGGCAGAACATTAAGGGAAGGGTGGCTGCAGTGCAGGGCAGTCTACTGTCAAATGCACGGCCCAATTTAGCGCTGAAACCCCAAATCTATGCAGGCTGAGTACACACGCTGCCATCCCCAGGTTCACTATCGCTAGGCATAAGCCGTGATTCCTGCATCTTCCCTGCAGACACCTTTGATGCAGATTCACAAGCAAGCCCTTGAGATCTAGCTGTGTCGTTCACGACTGATGGTTGCTGGAACCCCTGAGTGTGTGTGTTGGGTGGGGAGTTCTCCTGCAGACCTGGCATATGTATAAATCAAGGAGACAGGACACTGTTCCGAATATCTCATAGCCTATAATACACGCCTGCTGGCCCATGCGTTGCAGCCTAAACACACAGGTGCACTCATGCTAAAAAGTTACTCAAAGTACATGCCTAGATCTCCCCCCACCAATCTGCTGCCTAAGCAGGCAAAGGCATTCGTCCCATGACCAATAACAAACACACCACATTAAGCTCCCAGCACGGGGCCCATTCTCATGGAAAGTGACCTCCCATCATGAGGGGGTCTGAGGCTCGGGGTTAAAAGGGGCTGGTGCAGGGAAACAGACCCCTTCCTGCTCCAACCGCCTTTAACCTGTGCTGGGTCCTTTCTGAACTCTCAGCCTTGCCATCTGCCCAACAGGACCGTAGCCCCTCCCACGTGGGACCATAGGCCCCTCCCACGTGGGGGCAGGGAGCGAGAATTCCTCCTCTCGTGACCTGGGCAAGGAGGATTCCCGGCAGAACCTGGGTGGCTTTGTGCGAGTCAGCTAAGGAACCCGAGTGTCAAGGCAGGGGAGTGCCAATGAACCCAACCTGGTTACCTTGTATTGGAGTCTGAGCCTGTGACCCAAAGTGGCCTGGGGCGCTCAAGGATCCTCGGGGGCTGGGAGTTGTTGGGGTAACTCTCATAGACTGGCGCAGGCGTTCCAGTTCGGAATAGCGGTCTGTGAAGGGCTTGGTTTGGTCTTCTAGCTTTTGTCTGTGCCCTGAAACATGGCGAGAAAATCCGAGATTGAATGAGTTACCCTTTGGCTGCAGACCCCTTGTCAACACAACGTGAGAACGGTGCCGCAATAGACAGGTTGGTCTGATTACTGCTATCGCGGCCACAGGTCGAGGCCCCTGCCTGAGGTCAGGCCCTGCTGTGCTAGGCGCTGTACGGACACACAATAAAAGACAGTCACTATCCCAAAGAGTTTACAATCTAAACAGCAAGAGTAGGACGGGAAACAGAGCCATAGGCGGAAGTGACTTGCCCAAGGTCACCCAGCGACCTGTGGTGGAGCTATCAGGGACTTGGGGAGGGGCTGGCTGTACCCTCAGTCGGGGCATGGGTGGTGCCTCTTCCACAGATTCTACACGGGGCTGTTCTAGGCACAAACAAGCAAGGCAGCTGCCGAGGGCAGCAGTCCCGGGGCAGTGGGGGCACGAGCTATCTCCCACGAAGCTGCCGCGGTGCAGACGCCCCTGAATGTGCCCGGTGCCTTCGTGGGCTCTGACCTCGTCCTTTTCGAATGGGGCCAGACCAAAGCACGTTAGCAAACGTCCGCAGAATGCAGGCAGCACGCACCCTGGTGCGCACAGAGCTGCGGCATGGGCCATGCGCCTGCAGGACCCCCCTGGCTTTTTAAAGGGACACTCCTGCTGCTTAACGGCCTCAAATTAACTGGCCCATATTTACTCCTCCCCTCCCCCGCCCCCACCCACGTCTGGTTAGACTAGAGCGTCGCAAGTTACAATTTCCAGCCAAGGAAAAGGAGACCCGCTCCCCCAGGCCCCGGCCACTCGCTTGCTGTCCCGCACTGGCTGGTCTCCCAGGGGCAGGCTGCACACTGCTGCGGCTCCGGGCGTGAACCCCCCAGGCCTAGAGGCAGGGCATCTCTCAGGCTGTGTTCCTGGTGGGGTCTGAGCGCGGCGTCCGAGCCTCATTTTGTAAAGCTCATTGGAAAGCCCGTCTCTGGGGGTTCATAGTTATTAAACTCGAGCCTCGTGCTGTGAGGGGCCCTGGCTGCACTGGGCATGTCTACACCACACGCTCATTTCGAAACAGCGCGTCTACACAGCAGGGAAGCCTCAAAACGCGTCCAAGGCCGGCTCCCCGAAGGGAGACGCGCTACCTCGATACAGCACCCCGGGATGCAGTGGGGAGGGATCACTTGGAACGGGCAAGGGGAGGGGCCATTTCAAAATGGCAGCAGCGGAGCGTCCACACAGGCCGTATTTCGAAATAGCTATTTGGGAACAGGCGCTATTCCTCCGAGAATGAGGTTTACAGGTTTTGGAATAAGCCGCCCGTTATAACAAAATTGTTTGAAATAACGGAATGGCTGCGTAGACGCTCGCCCTGTTATTTCGAAAGAACGCTAGTTCTCGTGAAATAACGGTGCAGTGTAGACACACCCTTAGTTTAAAGGTCCAAATTCAGCCACCCAATAAGCTGCCAGAGCTGCCTCTGAAACCAATGGGAATAGCACCAACTCCTGAGATGTGTCATAAAAGGGACATCTGGGTGTGTTAACAATACCAGGGAGAGGAACTCAATAGCAGGAGGAATACAAATATTTCCGTTCAAAAAGTCAATGGCTCTTTCCTACATCTGTTCCCTGCCCCACATTCTCCTGCCGGCTTGTGGACCCAAACAGCAACATCAAGCTAGTACAGGGCAGCCAGAAGGCAAAATGGTTCAAGTGGATCCCACACCGTGCAGGAGTGAAAAGGGTCTAATCTATTCTGTACAGGTCCTTACACAGCTCATCCCCGAAACACTGTGTCGGCTTCAATTTCCCTTCTCATCTTTTCCATCCACGTGTGGGACACACGTGTGTGTGCACCAGGGCATGTGCAAACGTGCGCCCCCAGAAGAAGTGAAAATCCCCAGCAGGAGGGCTGACAGGGCACACTGGCTCCCCTTCCAGCCGTGCACTACGCAACACGCCTGGTGTCCGCCACATGTGGGCTCTCGTGCTGGCCAGGGGAGCGGTGCAGGAGGGGCGTGTCCTGGCTTCGTAGGATATTTTAGACGGGGCTCGTGACTCTGGGGAGCTCACTTCAGCATCGGACAAAGGGCTGGTTTCCAGACAGCATTCAGCACCTGCTCTCTGAAAACCTGGCCTCGTTAGGTCTTAAGATGAGTCCCATCCCCCTACCAACGGCGGCACCTACGATCAGTGCTCACTTGCGGAAAGTGTAAGCCGAGCAGAACACCAGGGTCCACCTGCCCCAGGAAACTGGCAGTGTTAAAGCAAGGTGACTTGGCCGACTCTGTGCTGCTCTTTGGGCCCGCTAGCGAGAGTCTGCGAGGAGGCTTAGCTCCGTTCCTATCAGCAGGGCCCAAACGTGCAAAACAAACCGAAGAACGAGGCACGGCAGTTAAAAAAAGCCCAAAACAAGAAGCAGGGTTTGCACACCCTGTGCTGCTGGCACTTCCTGTCACTAGAGCTGGGAACGTCAGACTGTGACTGCCAGGCAAGAGTGGAGTCACTCGGAACGTGCTTCTTTCATGAGAACGGCCTCAGCTTTTCGTTTCTGCAGCGGCTCATTTGATGAAAGCCCTTCGCCACCTAACCACACTGCACACACAAAGGAAACCCACACGGCCACGCTCGCAGTGCTGCACCGGACAGACAAGGAAGGGAGTTTCCAGGCTCTGAAAATTCTGGGCTTTGCCTGAAGCCCTCTGAAATCAGCGAAGGTCTTTCCATCCACTTCTGAGAGCTTTAGATCAGGGTCTAAGAACTGAGTCCCAAGAGGGGTTGAGTCTTTTGCATGCAGAACCCAACACTGCTTTGCTGGGTGTATTTTGCCATGAAATAGGTGATACCAGGTGATACCATTTGGCTTTCAGAGGTCACCCAGCTGTCTGCTCCAGCTTAGCCCTGATATTCTGAACCAAACACAAGTAAACGGTGACTCATGTCTTTATGGAAATGTTAAGCCCTGATGTAACAAAACACAGACAGCTACTGACTTGATCTGCCTTTTGTCAACAGGGAAGAAGTTTTTAAAGACAGACGCAGTTTCTTAGTCAGGTAGCTTTGATATCCAGCATGATATTAACCATGACAGGTTAACTTCTATGCAGATCAGTATCACTACATCAAACAAAACCAAGGCCATTGAATATTTTCCATATGAAAGAATTGACGTGAATCTGACACTCTGATCAATAATAGAAAGCACGTTGGAAGCTCTGGGTGTTTTCTTGGAATGGCGACAGTGAAATACTGTACGTGAGCCATGAAACTGTAGCCCTTCGAGCTGTGCTGCAAAGACATGCTTTCTGCATTAAAGCCTTTCAAAGGCGAAATGAGCCCTTCTCCTCTGTTAGAACTTTGGAAACTGACAAGACTTCAGGAACTCCCTGATTGGAACTTTTCGCGTGCGTGTGGGGGGTCTCCCCCGGGGTCTACACAAGCATCTCATTTTCCTAGATCGCTAAGACGCCAAGTCCCCCTTGTTTTGAACGTCTCTGTGCTACTGCGGAACACAGCAAGCCCTCGAGTCTGTGTTAGATCAAAGGCAGGACTAGACCTCCACGCTCAAAATCCCAATCCGGGTGTTGTGTGTTTCCAAAGCTCCGCGGTGCGGTTTCTGGTTCGGCCCATTAGCAAGACAGGAGCCATTTGGCGACCCATGCTCGGGTTTGGCTTGCACCCATGTCGAAGGGAGGTGCCGCTACCCCTGGGAAGGGCAGGGAACTGTCGGACACATTCCTCTCTCTCTGACTTTGGAGTTCGGATGCCCCAGTCATTCCGTGTGTCCTCCCATCCGCAAGGACGCTGGTGGAGCTGGTCGAGGGGAGAGAGTTTTTCTAACCTGAAGCTGAAGTCGGTCAGTGTCAACTTTTTAAATATTTTGGCTTTTTCAGGAAAGGGCGGGACGCACAGGACTTTTGTGCTTCGTTTTCCTGGTTTCTGCTAAGAAGCATGAGGTGGGGAGGTAAGAAAAAACCCCAGCCTGCTGCTCACTTTCAACGTGAGCGTCACTAGTGCAGCCGCCTGCTCACTTGCAACGTGAGTGTCACTAGTGCAGCCTCCTGCTCACTTGCAACGTGAGCGACACTAGTGCAGCCTCCTGCTCACTTGCAACGTGAGCGTCACTAGTGCAGCCTCCTGCTCACTCCTGCTCACTGCGTCACTAGTGCAGCCTCCTGCTCACTTGCAACGTGAGCGTCACTAGTGCAGCCTCCTGCTCACTTGCAACGTGAGCGTCACTAGTGCAGCCTCCTGCTCACTTGCAACGTGAGCGTCACTAGTGCAGCCTCCTGCTCACTTGCAACGTGAGCGTCACTAGTGCAGCCTCCTGCTCACTTGCAACGTGAGCGTCACTAGTGCAGCCTCCTGCTCACTTGCAACGTGAGCGTCACTAGTGCAGCCTCCTGCTCACTTGCAACGTGAGCGTCACTAGTGCAGCCTCCTGCTCACTTGCAACGTGAGCGTCACTAGTGCAGCCTCCTGCTCACTTGCAACGTGAGCGTCACTAGTGCAGCCGCCTGCTCACTTGCAACGTGAGTGAGCTTCACTGACTTGTGCTAAACTGACATGGCTTTACCTGAGGCATGGTCTGTGGACAAGTTCTTTATTCGTCCTTCCTTAAATAGAGGCGTCGCAAAGGGCGCCCCCCCTCCCCCGAGAGATGTTCTCCTCTGAGATGCCCTTACACAAAGGCCTTGTGAAAACACCTGCAGCAAATCCTAATGCTTAGACATGAACATGGCAAATTAAGGACCCTCCCTCCCTCTGCTCCGGGCCCGGCTCTGTCAGATGCTCTGTTGGTTTCACGAGGCAGGTGCTCACCACTGGCTGGAATTCATCCCTGTGCAAAGAGCCCGTGCAAGGACGCTGCCCCAGCTAGCACCTCAAAACTGGCACATCACTGGCCCCGGCGTCGTGCTGGCCCCTGCCTGGGGTGAACCTCCCGGCAGTCTGAGCCCTGGTTGCACAACCCCACCACTGGACGCAGTGGAGACACGGGCTTGATTCGAAAG